AGTATGTATGCATGCATGAATATCAGGTTTTACAACAATCTAATACTCTCTCACCATAAAATGGTCTGGATAACTGAATTTATAGATTAGAAAACAAGGTCAAACTGTTCAAATGGTGCCCATGGAACTTAAATGCCAAAGCAGGTCAACGTTTTACACACTGCACAGTACATGCCTCTTATTTACTACAGGTTACAAGGCAAAAGTCATGTTTTCCCAAGAACATGTGCATGCCTGCTGAATTGAATTAATAAAACAAATAGTTTTTTCAATTATTAGTGATGCAAGTCTCAGTTTTTCTCCAAACATTTGTCACATGTAATAGATTTTAATATCATTGCAAGTTACAATTACATGCAACTAACCAATCAAGTTTAAATGCACCTTACAATGTAACGGATAAAATAAAAAAATTAAAAAACATCAAGAAATCAAGTGCGCATTCAGAAAGAATTTTTCAATGTGGCTGTTGTGAAATTTGTCTGCTTGCCTCAAGAACTGGTCATGGATGATTGCCATTAAATTACTGTATGATAACACAATCTTAACTGTTATAAGATGCCACCTGCTGGTCAAAAATGGTCTAAGGCAAAGTAAACAGTAATCAACAGGGGAGACATAACACTAATTGTGTGATGAAAAAAAATATATATATATTTTTTTATATATCATACACATACATACATACATGTATATAAAATATAAATAATTAAATAAAAGGTAATATAAATGGTTTAAAATGTTTTTCAATTTCTGAAACCTGTACACAAAAGTACTGCTGCTCAAGTTAATTTCACAATGTTTTTGATTGCAATATCACAATAGACAATTGCAACACTTACAAAGCAGCCAGTGCTGGTTCTCTGAGTGCATCTTTCCTCCTGGATGGAGTTCTTGCCCTGGTTTGAAAACACACATTTAGGTTACTCTATGGGTCATTTCATCCTCAAATTAAACACATCAATACATAAAGAAAGTGAAGCAGGGGCCAACAGTGCACTGGTCTAGATAAAAGTAGTTGTGTGCTTAACCAGTGCATAAAGTGTGAAAAAAGAAAATAGCCACATAATGCCTTTGTGTTTAATAAAGACTACCAAAGCCGATCCAGAATAATAAAAAATGAATCTGTATCCCCTCTGTGGAGCAATAGAGGAACATGACTCACTTCAGGCCTCTTAGACCTGCACTCCTAGGGGTTGCCTCTCTCTTCCGCGGAGTTCTGCCTGTGCTAATTAGTGGCTCTGGATCATCATCCCCAATAGGCTGCACCCCAAGAAAGACACTGGGAGGGCAGCAGGACTTTTATAACTACTTTTTCAGTTTTGTATAGATATAGGATATTAAACCAGTCTTCCACGTATGAAGAACAAAATAGGTTTGCTTATTTCTAACTAAAACTATCAGCAGCACAGTACTAACTAGAAGTACTAAGCCTACAAAACAAAGAACCAAGATATAATTTCCAATGTAAATATATGTACCTGGTTGCATCGTCTTTGTCATATGCAGTCATTCTGGGTTTATCAGGGCTGTGTGAGGACAGAGGGGAGACACACTCCTCCTCATTATGATTAAGTCGAGTCAATCTAATAGAAATGGAGATGCGACCCGTTGGAGACGTGTTCAACTTAGACGTCAGCGTTTTCTCTGTGTGTTCATCAAGAATCTCTCCCAGAACATCATCTCGGGTCATGTTTTTACTTGGACCTGCCATAATGTAAGAGAAACACTGGTGTTCAGTTTAGTTTCTTTTGAAACCATTAAAGGAATAGTTGCCCAAAAAGAACAGTTGCTCTTTAGTTCATACAAAATTGCTTGCTCAACAAATAATCGACACGAATCTAGTCTATTAATCAATGTCTTGTGAAGCAAAAAGCTTCAAGCTTCAAAGTTTGTAATAAACATATCCATCATTAATACCTTTTAACTTCAAACCGCTGCTCCTGGCTAAAATACGAGTCCTCTATCCATAACACTGCTTTCTCCAGGAGAGAAAAAATAAAATTCTTAAATATGTTGGTCGATTTTGATGTGAGAGGACAACAGTTGATGGACTTTTAATTATTATAGAGCATGGAATGTTATTCTGGTCAGAATCGATGGCTTTAAGTTAAAATGCTTTAATGGTGGATTTGTTTATTACAAACACATGGCTTTTCGATTCACAATACATTAGAGTTGTGTGAATTACTTGTAGATTATTTTGATGTTTTTATCAGGCGTTTGAACTTTCATTCTGACGGCACCCATTCACTGCAGAGGATCCATTGGTGAGCAAGTGATGTAATGTGAGCAAATGATTTCTCCAAATCTGTTCTGATGAAGAAACAAACTCATCTACATCATGAATGTAGTACATTTTCTGCAAATCTTCATTTTTAGGTGAACTATTCCTTTAAAAGCAATATGTGTGTGGATGCATGGCACTCACTGCACAAGTCCAGCTTCTTGCGAACATGTGGCCCAGAGACGGCTCGGCTTCTCCTCTTAGCACTAAGAG